TTGTGTTCTTGACAGCGCCGATCGCCGCCACCACGGAGTCGTAGTCGCGGTCGAGTCCTGCGAGTATGTAGTCCACCATCTCCGGATCAGAGACGGGACGACCAGCGGCAGCTAGTTCATCCCGAAGGCTTTTCATCTTCGCCATATACGCCGAGCTCGACATTGTGCCCTTCTTGGTATTGGTGATCGCGATCCTTAGATTGGTGATCCGGGACTGTGATTGCGAGGCGAAGAGATTGTTCACCGTCGTCCAGAGCTCATAGGTGGAGTCCTTCCCGACGACTTGCGCAAGAATTTCTGGAGACATGGAGTTGAGAAGATATGACAGGACCTGCTGGTCTTTGGCGATCCAGGGCCCGTACAGAGGGTTCGGCTCGAGGGCCGTCGTCTTGTCCGCCTTCGTGATCTCCACAGTCTTGGGTGGAGCGGCGTCAGAGTTGTCCAGGAGCCCGGTTACCTGCGCACCTCGCAGGGCTGGGAGCACCTGGGTCTTCCAGAGGATGAAGTTTCCTCTTGCTAGCTTCTCAGATGGCGGCGATCCGAGGTTGAGGCCGACGCCGGACGAAGAAGCCATGGAGACGATGATATGTGGTTCTAGGGTTTTGATTTGTGGCTAGATGTAGGAGAAGAGGTGGCTCTGATACCATGAAAGATAATAAGCGTTCCTACTCCCTCGAGGGGAGCGCGGTTCTGTTTATATTGATTGATGCGGCCGAAGCCAAGCTTGGAGTACAAGGAATATTACAAGGAGTTTGAGTAGGAGAAGGAAAGGAGTTTGAGATGCTACGGAAACATATTCTCTAACAGGGGCAACATGGTCATTTAATAACCTTTAGGAAGGGACTAGAGACTTTTTACTCTCTGGAAACAAACAAGAAGGGTTTTTTTAGGGACTAGAGAATTTTTAGTTGGGACTAGAAAAAGTTATAGGACTTATGAACCAAACAGGCCTATAATCTATGAGACAACACTTCAAATATAATCAACGAGACACATATTATTACGTTCAACATAAATTTTGATCTACATTTGTGGGGATGCAATTTACCCACTCCACTAATAGACCCATTAAATGGTAAGCTCTCTCTAAAGACCGGCATGACATGATTGCTAGGTCCACACTGGCTAGGTCAAATTTGTTTGCACATGGAAATATAGTAATCCCATCTAGCTGAAGAATGAGATCGATAGGAATCTCAAATACGTCGCATATGTTACAAGTCTCTTCCTTTTTTGTTATATATCCCACCAATCTTTAGTTATCTCATTGGCCCTGTACTATTCATTGGCTCAAAGGGATACACACCTTTCCTAGAATCCTAGCTAGTCCACTTCCGTGGGGTGGTTAAGGTGCATGCATCCTGCCCAACATTTTGTTTCTCGAGGGCAGCAGCATCCACCAGCCTTCCTTCCGCTCCCAAACATTTCCGATGAGGGTTGGTGCGCGGGCCCAAATCAAGGCCGGCCCCCACAAGATCGATCACAAATTCGAGCTTAAAGCAAGGCATTATTTGGATTTGGATTTGGGTGGAGAAAACTATTGCTGCCGGGCAAAAGCCTACACATACACACAGAATTCCTCACATGTTAAATGTACAAGTCATCCAAACCACACACCCCAAACCAAACCAGACAACCATGGATCGCAAGCACTCGACGGGACCGATGCGACGCCTTCTTGTTCCCCTCAATGACATGTTGCGATCTACGTGAACCTCCAGCGACTCGTACATCACACCAAATATACAGATACATTCTGCTTTGCGCTACCGATCGATCCAAGTACGTACATGTCATGGAGAAGGAAACGGGGACACACGGACGGAGACGTACGGATGGGCCGGGGGACACGGACGATATGGACAAGGCGGGGAGATCCTACACGCGCCGTGCTCCTACTGGCCCGGTCGACCACGTGGCACGGCCCCATTGGTCGTGCATGGTATCTCAAAGCAGCGGCGAGGACCGAAGAAAGTATAGTAAATAAATAGGAAAATTTGGAAAAAAAAGGCGTGGAAAAGATCGATCAACGGATCAAGCATGACGGGAAAGCGAGGGCCGAGGCGGATCGAGCCCAGGTTGGTTGGTTGGGAGGGAGGAGATACGGCGCCGGATCGGCCTCGGCCTACGTTGGTGCTGCCGCTGTTTTTCCTCGTTCGATCCCAGCACCGGCCGAGGGGGGATGCACGGGATCCCGCGCAGATCTCTCCTCTGCAGCGCGCGGGCCCGTGGCTCCTCGCCGCGCGACGCGTGTCCTCGTCGACGGCGACCCGCCGGCCCGGACTTTCGCGGCGACGGCGACATGGCGCGGATCGGGGGCGCCCCCCGGCACTGGTTCCCCTGATGTGTCAGCGATCCGGCGAGCGCTGCGTGTGTGAAATGTTACAGGTGGTTTTATCCGAGCTCGATCGGTCGCATGCACCTGGCTCTGTGCTTCTCGCCGTCTCGGTCGGTCAGCCGGGGGACTGAGAGTGAGAGCGGCCTCGATCCAGCTAGCTGTTGCTGAATTGCCGTCGTCGCCGACAGCCATAGCTCTGGAAGCAGTCAAACCGCGTGTAAACTTTGTGCGGTGGGTCACGTCACGGAGCAGCGGCAACTTCCCTCTCGGCTAGCACACTGCCACGTGGCGACCGAAAGAGACGTGGATATATTCTATAGATTTGTAGCATCTCTTTAGGACGGCTAATCAGTGAGCCAGCATCCGCGAAGTGGATTTTCTCTCGAGTGGAGTCGCTGCCTTGTTAATTTCATCGTACGTGAACCAAATCTGCTTTATATTTGGACCTTTTCCGCCTGGTTAACCGCTGTTCATTTCTGTGCTTTCACCGTCAGTTAATTCGGGAATATTTATCGTGTCGTGTGTGCTACTATTCGTTTGATATGCATGCATGTACGCCCATGTAGAGTAGAGATGGTTGTGTGTGGTGTGGTGTGCCATCTACAACTCCCTCTGTTCAAAAAAGCTTGTCTTGAATTTGTCTCTCAAATGAATGTATCTAACACTAACTTGATGCTAGATACATTCATTTGATGGACACATTTTCTTGGACGGAAGGAGTATATTTTTGGCCTTTTACTTTGGATCGTGTGGGTAGAACGACATCAAGTGCCGTGAAGAAGACATGAATGGTGACTAGGTTCCGACTCGCTAGACACGGGATTTATGGCGGAGATTATAGATCCGGTGGTCCTGGAACCAGGTTCACTGTTGGCTGAACCCGCAAACCTGCATGCATGGATGGAATTCACTGTTCTGTTCAGCGGAGTTACAACCCAACATCGCTGATGAGATCATGCATCTCCGTGGCAACTCTGTTTCAGATTCTTAGTCCCTACAGTAACTTCAATGGGCCTTTTCTCGGGAAGTAGTAACTTCTACTCCTTCTGTTTCATAATTCTTGTCATGGTGTTAGTTCAAATGTAAACTAAAACCACGATAAAAATTATGAAACGGAGGAGTACCAACAAAGCTTCTGCTGTTACAGAGAGGTAGGCCTCGATCAAACCGCACGCGTGAACGATTATTTATTTTAGGGCCAAGCTCAAACTTTCCTCTAGGACATCCTTAATTAATTAGCTGAGACTAACATATAGAATTTGCGGCAAGTTAAGACTAATAGATTAGTGCAGAATGCAGACAGAGAACATCAATTATTGATCATCACGGTCGAGATCAGCAACAGATATCTCAATGCTTATATTATATTCCATGTTCCAACGACCATGTGATGCTTCTAGGAATACCGGTCCATGCAATGCACGATGGACCACGCACTGGCATACCGAACACGAACGGCAGATCGATCCATGGCGGGCTCTCGATCGACCGGCTGGACCATCCATGATTTACCCATGAACCCACTGGGGCTCGACCGGCCATAACTCCGCAACGGTTTCGAGACAACAGCAACCACTAGTCGATCTAGCAGGCAGGTCGATCGATCGATCAGGCGGCCCCCAAACTGTTGGCTTGGCCCCGTATTCAAAGCCGGCGTGGACGTACGTACAGACACTGCCACATGCGGAAAGCACGCGACGGCAGAAGCGGTTGTGCTTGTGCATGCACGCCTGACCCTGCCGGCCGGGATCGTCCATGGACGATCGCATGGTTCACCGTTTACCGTTGCCGCTTGCCAAAGTTAACTTGCGTGCCTAGCTTCCGCTTGCTTCGCGGGTGAGTCACGTAGCTAGCTAGGCCCTGCGTGCGTACGGCCGGCGTCCTCTCCGGCCGGCACCCCGGCAGTGCTACGGAGCAGCGGTCAAGTAGCTACTTATTACGTACCCCCCTTCCTGCTTGCGCATGCAGCGTGAGAACGGCCGGCGAGCAGAGGGACGCGCGAGGTAGCCGACGGCGTGACGACAAGCAATCAGCAAAGGCACGGCCCGGTTACTGACATTTCCTTGAGGCGAACCTCTACGTAGTAGTACGTGCTACTGCCATTGCCATTGATGAACGGTCAACTTTCTAGACTAGTCAGGTCGATCGGCCGTGCCGTACGTACGTGGTACTGCTAAATGTAGCGAAGGAGAGAAAGGACAATGGGTATTGTTCATTCAGATGCATGCATGCATGCACGCCAACGAAATTTTAGGATCACACTGTTGTGCATGAAAAAATACTGCATTGATAAGGTAAAAGAAAGGTGCACATCCCTAGTGGTAGCAGTACACTAGTACGTAGGTAACGTACGCGCATGGACGGGCTTGCGAGTCCAAAAAAAGCTTGGAGCAAACCACGTACGAGCTAGCTAGCATGCGGTAACAACGACAGTAAATGTAACTAGAAGGTTCCTACTACACATCTTTACACACATTCATGCATGCGGCCATGCACACAGCCGCACAGAGCTACAGAAATCATCCGAGGAACTCCAAAAGCGATCGAGGACGACGAGCTGGTGCGCGCGGCGCGGGCCGGCGACAGAAACGGAAGGAAGGATTATTGAATCACTGCTATCATGGTAGCTGAAGCGTCAACGAGCCGTGCTGATGAGGACGGGCTACCACGGCGCGTGCTGCATGGCGGGGTAGGCGAAGGCAGCGGCGCGGTGGGCGGCCGCGCCGGTGGCGGCGGCGGCGAGCTCGAGCGACTGCACCTGGGACTTGAGGAACTTGACGTAGTGGATGGCCTCGTCGAGCATGGAGGCGGTGTCCATCTTGGTGCCGCCGGGGACGAGGCGCTGCAGGACGCGGATGCGCTCGCTGATGCGCTCCCGCCGCAGCCTCGCCGCCACGCTCTGCGGGTCCTTGGAGGTCCGCACGTTGCGGCGCTTCGGCGGGCGCACCGCCTCCGGGTCGACCTCCACCGGCTGCAGCGCCGCGATGTGGAAGATCATCTCCCGCATCGCGTCCGACGAGGACGGGGACGAGTAACCCTGCGGCGCGCCGTCGGCGCCGTCGAAGACGGCGGCGCCCGGGGACACCACGTATTCCTGGTGCACGCCGCCGGTGCCGGCGTAGCCCGCCGGGGCGGCCTGGGCATGCAGGTCCTGATGGTAAAAATAGCCGGCGTCGGCGGCCGCGCAGGCCGTGGACACGTGCGGCGGAGGCGAGAGGCTGTGCGAAGGGGTCTGCACGGGCGATATCGGCGGCGACGCCTCCGCCATCATCAGCGACTGGTCGTTGAGCGCCTGCTCGAGCTGGAGCATGGTGTTCATCAGCGCGAGCTGCGCCTCGGGGCTGGAGCTCAACAGCAGGTCAAAGTCCATGGATGATCACTCAAACGATCGAGAGCTTGCTCTCAGTGAGACGTGTGTGTGTTGCTGCTGCAAGAGACTGGACTACGAGCTCGCTCGACTCGAGCTTGCTGGCGAGTGGGCTGTTTGAGGAAGGTTTTGCTGGCTGTGCTGTTGCCAAACCGCAAGTGGAGGCGCCTATTTATAGGCAGAGGCAGAGGAGAGGACCCGGGACCGTAGGGCCGTTGCGGTTTGGAGTGGACTGGCGGGGGTAAAGGTGACGCTGCTTCCTCTGTAGCATCAGCGCACACTAGCAGTTAGCGATCTCTTCTTTTCAATTATTTCCCCCTTTTTCTAATTTTTCTGATTTTATTTATTTCTATATACGTCCTTTCCTTTTGCCTTGCTGCTCCTTCCTCGAAACTGGAATTACGCTCCCGTGCGCCAGTATAGATAAACTTTCGCTTTCGTCGAGAGGGACGTCTCTACAAAATGTCTCGCAGAACACGGATCAGCCGAAATCTCCAGAATTAAGAATGCCGACGACCGCTTTGCCCGTCGCATTAAGCTTTTCCTCACCTGATTAGGGTAGCGGCGAGGGTTGGACGGTCGGGTCAGCTCACGCCGGCCCGACACGTGGATGGTTATGTGGGAGATCGTTTTTTCCGAAGTTGCTCTCCGCGTATCGGTCAGTGAAAGTGGAACACTGTGTAGTACTAGTACGTACTCCCTCCGTCCGAAAATACTTGTCGTAGAAATGACTAAAAATGGATGTATCTAATACTAAAATATGTCTAGATACGTCCATTCCTCCGACAAATATTTCCGGACGGAGGGAGTAGTACGTATCTGGCTTCGAAAAGGAAAACATGCAGTGGGGCATGCGTATCGCGCTCCACGTCGGACTGATGCAGGTTATGTGCGATGAATCGCGCGCGGGTGATCTTCTTTTCTCTACGATCACCTTCTGGTTGACATGATAAACTGACGAGATTCAGAAATACTACTAGTCGATATTTTAGTTACCACCGTAGATTTTTCTTCCTACGTGATACTTATACGTAGTACTGGACGTTGAGTACAGTAAAAATATGTAGGATATGGCGCAGATAAAAAACGACATATACACGGACGGAGTATATAGCTAGTCTTACATGCTTCCTTTGTTCTTTTAGTCTGCATATAAATTTTGATTAAATTCAAGTTTTGTAAAGTTTGACGAATTTTATATTAAAAAATATCAACATTCATAATATGAAATCAATATTATCATATGCACCATAAAATGTGTTCTCATACTATATAGTATTAGTATTATAGATGCTTATATTTTTTTATATAAATTTGGTCAAACCATGTGTAGTTTGAATTTGACCACGGGTAGAAAAATAAACGGAGGGAGTACTAGCGAGTAAATCCTGTACGTTCAGACCTTTCCACCGTTTGCGCGCGCAATTTAGTTACCAGCAAGTCGTAGTAGATTGAGCGGTGAGGTACGGAACATGCCGCCGTGGAGTAAAGCGAGCGTACACGGCGGGTTGCCATCGGCCCCCAACACGGTCAACGGGCTCAAGGGCGTTGGTCAGTTGGTCGGTTGGCGTTTGGTACTCTCTTATAAATGACCCGGACCCGCCTGTGCTTGGCCGTATACGATCCTACCGCGCCTAGCACCCCACGTGTCGGTGATCCACCGGAGGACAAACATGCTCCGTTCACTTGCCTTTCCGCCAGCGTCCACCGCGCATGAAATTTTTTACGTGATAATGCTGTTTTTTCTACATAATTTTACTGGCTGGTTACTCCGGTAGATGCTGCTAAAGACATTATGATTTGAGTTGAAAGAAATTAAAGAGGAAGCTCCTTTTTGTGTGTGTGTGTGTGGGGGGGGGGGTCCCCGGTTCCATTGCCCAGATGAAACCATCAAATCATACATCAGCTCATTAAGAGGAGCAATTCAACTGCAAATAAAACAAAAGAAAAACTACAAAGTTCACGAGAGACAGACGTCAACTAATGTAAGAGTAGCAGGGGCATGCAGGCCCCGTAAGGCTGGTCATAGTGGGAGTAACATAGGTAGTAACATAGATGTCACATAAGCAAAAATGATGATGTGGCAAGTAGTTAATGAAGAGAGAGGCAAATAGGGTAACATAATATGTTACCATCACATAGCGGTTTCCAATGCATAATGAGTCTACAAAGTAATAAATGAAGGCAACTATGTTACCACACCTATGACACTACCCACTATGAAGGTAGTAACATAGACTAGTAACATATGTACTCCCTCCTTCCATCTATATAGGGCCTAATGCGTTTTTTAAGACCGCCTTTGACTATTGACAAGATTAATAGTACATGACATGCACAATGTAAAAATGAAATCATTGAAAGCTCCTTTCACACATGAATTTAACGGTGTGCTTTGTGTAAGTTGCATGTCATATATTATTGCTCTAATATTTGGTCAAAGTTAGCCTTGAAAAACGCATTAGGCCCTATATAGATGGAAGGAGGGAGTATGTTACTAGTCTATGTTACTCCCCACTATGACCAGCCTAAGATTGGGGAAGCTCCAGAGAGAACATCAGCAACATCACATGGTGAACGCCCAGCTTGCTCTCCTAGTATTTAGCGGCGGTGCAGCAAAAGCCAGGGGAGGCCAACAGCTCGCCAGCGTGGACACGGGGCTGGTCACAACAGTTTTGTCCCCTGCACCCATCTTCTTCATTGGCGATAGGTAGCAGACGTCCTCATTAGAGATCTTGAACTTGCTCCAAGGGTCGCCAGATGGCATGGTACCGGAGTGGACAAATGAGAACGGGTTCACCCACTTGCAATTATCAGGGGTTTCTGTATAAAACACTGTCAACGCCTCCAAGAAGGCCTTCAACCGCTCTCTGCTTTGGTCCGGAGACAACAACACCCAGTGCCTGATTGTTTACAGGATCAAACCTCATGACCTGGGTAGCAGAGATCCATTTGATGTTGTCAAAAATCATAGAATTTCTATATTTCCACAAGCACCAAACTACAACAGAACTGACAGTATTTGGAGCAGAATTTCTGTTATTGGAGACCCAGAATTTTGCAATGGATTCAAAGTCATCACTGATACGTCTCCAACGTATCTATAATTTTTGATTGCTCCATGCTATATTATCTTCTGTTTTGGACATTATTGGGCTTTATTATCCACTTTTATATTATTTTTGAGACTAACCTATTAACCGGAGGCCCAGCCCAGAATTGTTGTTTTTTTGCCTATTTTAGGGTTTCAAAGAAAAGAAATATCAAACGGAGTCCAAACGGAATAAAACCTTCGGGAGCGTGATTTTCGGAACGAATAAGATCCAGGAGACTTGGACCTTACGTCAAGCAACCAACAGGGAAGCCACGTGGGAGGGGGCGCGCCTACCCCCCCCCCCCCAGGCGCGCCCTCCACCCTCGTGGGCCCCCTGTTGCTCCACTGACATACTCCTTCCTCCTATATATACCTACGTACTCCCAAACGATCAAATACGGAGCCAAAACCCTAATTCCACCGCCGTAACTTTCTGTATCCACGAGATCCCATCTTCGGGCCTGTTCCGGAGCTCCGCCGGAGGGGGCATCGATCACGGAGGGCTTCTACATCAACATCATAGCCTCTCCGATGAAGTGTGAGTAGTTTACCTCAGACCTTCGGGTCCACAGTTATTAGCTAGATCACTTCTTCTCTCTTTTTGGATCTCAATACAAAGTTCTCCCCCTCTCTTGTGGAGATCTATTCGATATAATCTTCTTTTGCGGCGTGTTTGTTGAGACCGATGAATTGTGGGTTTATGGTCAAGTTTATCTATGAACAATATTTAAATCTTCTCTGAATTCTTTCATGTATGATTGGTTATCTTTGCAAGCCTACTAGATTGATCTTTCTTGCAATGGGAGAAGTGCTTAGCTTTGGGTTCAATCTTGCGGTGTCCTTTCCCAGTGACAGCAGGGGCAGCAAGGCACGTATTGTATTATTGCCATCGAGGATAACAAGATGGAGTTTTCATCACATTGCATGAGTTTATCCCTCTACATCATGTCATCTTGCTTAAAGAGTTACTCTGTTCTCTTGAACTTAATACTCTAGATGCATGCTGGATAGCGGTCGATGTGTGGAGTAATAGTAGTAGATGCAGGCAGGAGTCGGTCTACTTGCCTCGGACGTGATGCCTATATACATGATCATACCTAGATATTCTCATAACTATGCTCAATTCTGTCAATTACTCAACAGTAATTTGTTCACCCACCGTAAAATACCTATGCTCTTGAGAGAAGACACTAGTGAAACCTATGGCCCCCAGGTCTATCTTCATCATATTAATCCTCCAACACTTAGTTATTTCCTTTGCTTTTATTTTACTTTGCATCTTTATGACGAAAATACCAAAAATATTATCTTATCATATCTATCAGATCTCACTCTCGTAAGTGACCGTGTAGGGATTGACAACCCCTTATTGCGTTGGTTGCGAGGATTTATTTGTTTTGTGTAGGTGCGAGGGACTCGCGCGTAGCCTCCTACTGGATTGATACCTTGGTTCTCAAAAATTGAGGGAAATACTTACGCTACTTTGCCGCATCACCCTTTCCTCTTCAAGGGAAAACCAATGCAGTGCTCAAGAGGTAGCAAGAAGTATTTCTGGCGCCGTTGCCAGGGAGGTCTACGCAAAAGTAAACATACCAAGTACCCATCACAAACCCTTATCTCCCGCATTACATTATTTGCCATTTGCCTTTCGTTTTCCTCTCCCCCACTTCACCTTGCAGTTTTATTTGCCCCCCCTCTCTCTCTATCCTCCCTCTCTTTCTCTATTTGCCTCTTTTTGCCCGTTCCTTGTTTGCTTGTGTGTTGGATTGCTTGCTTGTCACGATGGCTCAAGATAACACTAAATTGTGTGACTTTACCAATACCAACAACAATGATTTTATTAGCACTCCGATTGCTCCTCTTACCGATGCTGATTCTTGTGAAATTAATGATGCCTTGCTGAATCTTG